ATATATATATATATATATATATATATATATATATATATATATATATATATATATATATATATATATATATATATATATTCCTAGTTCCAAGACCACTTATGCTTGTCTTATCAAGAGATGATTCTAGTCGACTGGCAAGAAAAGTAGGGAGGATGGAGACAAGTATAATTTGATGAAACTAACATAGTTTATGAAATTATGGTCCTATTTCCAAAATAATACCTATTTGTTGAATCTACTAGTACAGATAGAAAGTCAACAAGATAAGTAAGAGAGAAGTCATATGCCACTGTATGACAGTTACAGTGGTCTAAAGCACTCGCCTTTACCGCATCTCACCTATGTTCGCCTGGGTTCGAGTCTCGTGCTCGGACAATGTGGGTATGTGAAAAAGCTGCCTATAGCTTCCTGTGGGTCTATGGTTCTTATCGCGGCTTTTCAGGGTTCCTCCTGTGTCAGTTATACTGGCCACCATGTATAGCCTAAGGGGTTAAGCACGAAACAACAACAGTAAGAAATATGCGAATGTATGGAAAATATGTCCTTTGTTTAAAAAATATAGTTGCTAACTTATACGTAATTATGTACAAAGCATTTTTTATTTTTAGGCAGGTTGAAATTTGTGACCAATATGTTTGTTCCGATATTCCTAGACTACTTGAAACTACACACAGGAGTTTTGGTTAGTCAGCAAATGATATAATGTTGTGTTTGAATTTTAGTTTTCAAAAATAAGGCTCAACAATGCGAATAACATTACTTCAGTTTTTGTTCGATTCAAGGCAACCAACCATTATGTTGACCAATCGTTTAATCTTTTTTTAAATATATACTCGGTACACATTCAATTTGGTAACAATTACTTAATGAATCTGCAAGTAGATTATTATCTACAAAGAGTCCAATCTTCTAATCATCAACCATAAACGTATTCGTAGAAAAAAAATGATATTCACTTGATAAGTGTGTGTGTGTGTGTGTGTGTGTGTGTGTGTGTCTGTGTGTGATGGTGAGATTTAAGCATTATAACCCTCTTCCATTTTATTCGGCGTCGTTAACTAAGGAATGATTTCCCATGATGTAATTGCCCAGTGTGGACTGATAAATGGAACGTTACAGATAGCTGAGCAAAGTATTAAATGAAATTAAAGAACGAGCCACGTTTTCAATAAATAAAAATGGAACATTTTAATCAAGTAACATGCAATCAAGACACATCAATTCCCCATGCAACCGATTTACTAAATTACGTATATTCAATAAAGCATATCCAAAATTCACTTTCTAGTTCGACTGATGTCAGTGACAGAATTTAATTACATTGTACGACTATTATCATGTATTCGAGTGTTGACCTTCTATCCAATTTTAATGCTTTGACAGCATCACCTGACACTTGTCTTTGCACGACATGTTTGCCATGTCTACCCACGTGCTTGGTCCTCTGCCGACCCTTACTATTCTGACATCCCGTAGATGTAGATTTTCCCTTTCACTCATTGGCTTCCTTCCGTATTCCTCCTCCTCCTTTGTCTCGTTCTAAGTACGAAATACGCTGTACGAAGCTGTCCAATTAAATATAGAGTATGTCTCACGCTAGACAAATACCACTACACATCCACACACACACACAAACACACACACACACATATATATATATATATATATATATATATATATATATATATATATATATATATATATATATATATATGTGTGTGTGTGTGTGTGTTTGTGTGTGTGTGTGTAAACTATATTTCTCGTGCTTAGATTTACGTGGTTTGCATTGAATTATTCTGACCTAACGTGACCTTAATTTGTACCCTTCACAGATTCTATCTTGCGGTACGTTTACCGTTAAGTTGATACACATGACCTTAGCTCAAGTTCTTAGGAATTCACGCGAAAGTCCTAAATTCCCTCGTGCCTTCTACCGACAAATGTGGCCGTATACGCCAGCATACATTACAACACGACTCATTTACTTTTGGCTTTTCAATGCAGTTTAGTGCTCAAATAGTTATGGCATAATATCCACTAAATCTAACTATCCTAAAGTAACTTGCGTGAACAATTAAATATTGCAAACACATATATAAATATCCACTCGTAATTACTCATAAGAGTAAATATCATTCTACACAGATTTAATTCATATATCCTAAGAAATATGACACATTCGTATATTAGGGTAAATTTATGAAATCCATACGCAAATCTACATGTCGAATGTTTAATTACATGCGATCCGTTAATTCTCTCAATGATTTTATAATTAAAAAATCAAAGATTTAACTGGTAGAAACTAACATATCACTAGAGTCCTGCAAAATGAATGCACCATACATGCGTGAATCATAATATATCATATATGCAAACAATCAAACTAATTAAATAGTATAATATAAATTGGAAACTAAAATTGCGTACCTTACTGCCGTTTTCTTTTCTTTCCAAACAAACCGTCCTACCCTTTAGTCTGTCTCCTTTAATAAGACAACTATCCGGCCCTCTTTTTGGTAATATCTAGAAGACACTACTTCATTAACGAGCGCCTATGGAGTCGACTTAGTCTTCTCTCAAGAAAAATCGGACTAAAGCTTTTTCAAAAGATAGTTTCCTAAGTTGTTTATCAACGTATACGCCCTTAAGTTTCCCTGACCAATCTGAAATAACTGTTCATAAAATTTTTCCCTCCAAATCCCTCTGTCGTCGGTTTCAGCAGCCTAAAAGATGCTACAATTAGCTTCCTTTGAAAAATCGATTATTTGACGTGCGCCCCTTCTGAACTGCTATGGGTCAGAATATTATTACGCGTACGCCATGTACTATAAAATAAACATGATATATTCAACTGAAGCTTAACGTAGTTCCTTTTATGTTTAGAGATGAAATAAAGAAATAAGCATCGACCTCTCTCCAGGCCACTCTGCTTCGGCTATGTTAACATAAAAGCACAATTTATTTAACCTTAGGTTTCAACGAGTTTCAAAATTCGACACATCACAGTGTGTGTATGTGTATGTGTGTGTGTGTGTGTGTGTGTGATTTTGAGTTTTAAAGTAACAATTTGTCCGTCATATTACTATGATGTATGCAGTGTTGTATTTTACAGTGGTGTCTAGCACTAAGGCATCATGCCGCAGATATGTAGCATCATATCCCATCACATTATACTGACACTAGGATTACCAGTCCTAACAATAACCTCTTAATGTTGAGCGCCTAGCGAGGCAGTTGCTAGTAACATATTTATAAATCATTGGTATGACTCTGCCCGGGTTTGAATCCGCGATCACCCGCGTATGATGTCGACGCTCTAAAAACATATGCCATTAGAACCGTCAATTATTTGCGTAAGAATTACATTAACGCAACGTTTGCAGAGTTAAAACGGTTGTAGGAACGTTCGCGACATTTTAAACCCACAAACTCTACCTTTGAATCCAAAACTCCTTTTCATCCTGTAAATATAATATTTTAACCCAGTTTCTCATAAGTCGATATCCTCCTTGAGAGAAATTAATCAAAGTTTCTTATGTAATTAAATCGCGTTTTAATTGTTTCTCATTCCAGCCTTGAGTTACTATCTCGCCATCAGAATTAGATTCCAATTCTCACCTGTACGTGCTTAATTATTTTAGTAAATCAATGCGCTTAAATCGCGGAGATCACGACAAGCAATAAAATGTGGGTGACGACCCTCACCGTTTATCACTTAGGGAATAGGTGTAATAAATGACAGGAACTCGCAGTTATAATTAAAGTGAAACAAAACACGATTCTGAATGAATTACACTTGTTAACGAACCTGACACCAATCGCACTAGATGTTTTTTGGGGTGGGTGGGTTGGTGGGGGGTTAGGAGTAATTTGCTCTCCACTCATTTTAACTTGAATACCTTAGTAGGCATTCAGATCGATAAGTTTAACAGCCTATTTTCTTTTAAAGCCAATTTAGGTCGCAAAAAAAATTGTACATACCTTCAAATTTGAACCACAATTTAAAAAATCATATTTTTTACGTTCATTTCTTATGACTATTTTAAAAACGAAGAATCAATATTTGTTTATATATATATATATATATATATATATATATATATATATATATATATATATATATATAGCGAGAGAGAGAGAGAGAGAGAGAGAGAGAGAGAGAGAGATAGATAGATAGATAGATAGATAGATAGATAGATAGATAGATAGATAGATAGATAGATAGATAGATAGATAGATAGATAGATAGATAGATAGATAGATAGATAGAAATGGTACGTTTCTTATATTACGTCTAATATGGCAGTTTGATCATCTTGTAATATATTTATGTAACACCGCCTATAATCGAGTACCACTCAATTGTCGTCTGGCAACATCAAACAAGACGTTTATTAACACTCAGATTCATTGACACCAATTCACTGACACCGAGATTCATTTGTACAGTTCTTGCCCAGAGCTTATATTCTTATTTCATATCTTTTAAAATGCCGTATTCAGGACAATTTTTTAATCCCTGATTGAAGCTTACCTGCGTAGAATCTTCTCTTTATTTAGGATGGAAAATGCTTATAATGTAATGTTTTGTGATACCTGGAAATTGTTTAAGAGATTATTTGATAGTTCGAACGGTCTTTACGCATACAATGTGATTCGTTTTTACAGAGTTAACTTACATTTGCCATAGCTATTCTGAAGATTGTGTCCTTGAAAAAGTTTGAGCTTATTCGTTATAAACGGATTATGGTGTTTATAGGGTGGTGTTTATAATTTTTAATGTAGCTTTAACAATTTTTCAGTCATATTGTTACGATGTCTGCAGTGTGGCATTTATAGTGATGTCTAGCACTGGGGCATCATGCCGCAGACACGTAGCATGATGTTCCACCCAGTCACATTATCCAGACACCAGGCCGACCAGTTCTAACACTAACCTCTTAATTCTGAGCGTCAAGCGAGGCAGCTGTTAGTATCATTTTTGTAAGTCTTGAGTATGACTCGACCGCGGGATAGAACCCACGACCTCACGCATCCGAGGCGGACGCTCTAACCAGTATGCCACCGAAGCGGTTACACGCGAATTATGCAATAATTTCCTGCCTTTATGCAGAAGCACGTGATTGTAGGCTCGTGTATTGGTGAAAGTATCGACGCGACAGGGGTTAAGGGGTGCAAATGTTCGCGAGCACCAGGCAATGGGTTGGGTGGTGTCGTCGATTTTTTTTTTTTTTTTATCTGAAATTTACATACTATTTCAGCTCACCCTAACATAACTGGGGCATTTCTTCACAAAACTTATATATAGATAGGGGGAATGGATGTTGGCGACTGACGTAAAAACTGTTGTCTGTGGCAAAGTAGACGCGCCTCTATAGAGCAATGCCCCCGGGCGCCTCTAACCCTCGCGCCGTCAAGAATCCTAAAGGAAATCTAAGAACTCGCGCAAAGAACCGATTTTAGATTGTGTGTAATGTACTTTTAACCTGCACGCAGCCGCGATAGTTCAATGTTCAGCGCCTCACTTTCAGAATCAGTGGATTTAAATTCTGCTAGGCCCAGTCAGAGTCTGACACTTTGGCAAAACGCTTTATTCCTGACCTTGGCACTGTAAGTCTTTCATGTCCTGATATGCCTTTCAGAAATACTCAAATAATCCATCAGCCGTTTACCTTCATTTATATGGCTATAATCTACATATAGAAACATATACAAAAATACACAGGAGTAAACAAATGCAGATAACAGATTTAATAGAGAAATGTCGAGGACTATATAATTTAGACTAAAATAATTGGGGCGTTGCTGATATCAGTCCTGATATCGATAATGCTTGTCGTCTGAGTTACTTTTTTAAAACTCGTAACGAAATTAGCTTTTGGGAATCGGCAGCAATGCAGTGTTTTGTTCTTTTGTTTTACGTCTCTTATTCAATTCATACCATCCCACTTCGTCTGTTATTAAATTCACACCCTCCCAAATAACAGCAGTAATACCTCTCCCCCAGCGTAACTAAATAACTTGGTCACCTGAATTAATTATCCGTCCATCAAACAGTATGGTAGGTATAGAATAAACAGAGTGCCATTGTGCAGCAAGTATAATGGGCTTTATGTTTGATTGACGAATCCTTACTAACCTTAGCAAGATAATGTATCTAGGCCATCAAGGTGTCGGAAAATCCCAGCCAAGTGCCACCTATACCCCAGAATAGAAATTAGGTTTGATATATTTGCAAAAAGCAATGAATGAATGAATAAATAAATAAATAAATAAATAAATAAATAAATAAATACACTGTACTTCGTTATCAAAAGATACTGCCATATCCGTATTATATATAAATTTATATTCCTGAAATTATTGCCTTTAAAAGATGATTATTATTCCCGAAAGGAGAGATATAAAAGCACACAAACACACACACACACACACACACACGCACACACACACACGCGCATAAAATAAACAAAAACAGAGAGTTCAAAGTAAAACACGGGCAGTTCAAATTATCTCACAAAAGACATTCCAAGTCCCATTGATTGTTATTCATTTTCAAGAAACAAACTGAAAATGCGTCAGCTTTTCCTTTCCAGAAATGCTTATGTCAGTCATATTTTAAGTTGTGTATGTATGTATGTATGTATGTATGTATGTATGTATGTATGTATGTATGTATGTATGTATGTATGTATGTATGTATGTATGTCTAGTGTGTGTCTGTCTGTCTGTCTGTATGCATGCATGCATGTATATATATATATATATATATATATATATATATATATATATATATATATATATATATATATAAACATACATACATACATACATACATACATACATACATACATACATACATACATACATACATACATACATACTTGACAGAGAATGTCTTCCCAATGGATGGATGGATGAATGAATGGATGGACGATAGATGGATATAAATGAATTGGAGGGTGAAATGGATGAGAAGAATTGTTGTGTAAATGGATTGGTGGATGGAGTCACTCTGAAAACGTATATTTATATATTCAATCTGATTGAAATTATATATTTATAGAGATATGATTAGATAAGAATGTTAATGGGTTTTGCTTTTTTGTTTGCTTTGGGTTTGCATTCACTGGAATATGTACGTAACTTTTCAACCACAGCTCTAGTAATACCTATAATGAAATAGAATATGGAAAACGTCCTTTTTCTCTTATCTAATTCAATTCAAGATGTCTTCATTCGTGTGAAAGGACTTAATAAACATAGAGCAAAATATATTTTATAGCATTTAATCGACCGGGCAATAAAAATCGATATTAGATTAATATATTTAACCTACATTTTCGATGAATACATTTATTTTGTAAAAGTGTAAACAAAGTGGATTGTTTAAGCCACCAATTCATCGATTATTTGTGGGGTGTGTGTGTGTGTGTGTGTGTATTCCATGCTGTTCAGTGAAAATTCTCTTTTGCAACACACACACAAGCAAGAATACAGTAATTTCGGATTAAAGAGAAATAACACAGCACACCACCACCATGTCCACATAAAAATTAAGATTCTTCCAGTTAATTAGCACTTCAACTGGGGTTGTAGTATTCGCTTCCACTTGGCTTGTCGCGAGCTTGCCGACTCAATGTGTGATCATGTCAGAACATATAGCGAGGATCCTTAAAACACTTTTATTAGCAATTAAAGTTATTAGTATCAGCCCCAATTATAATAATTGCCCGATAACATATCATATTAATTGCTCTATAAGAATAATTATTGTCAGATTATTTATCTGATTGTTGTTATCGCAGGTTCGAACAAATTATTACCCTGTTAGAGTAATTGTCTCATAGCAGTTGACAGTAATGACTCTTGCAGAGTAATTACCCTTTCAGAGAAGAAGCCCCGAGTGGCCGAGTGGTCTAAAGCGCTGTCCGTTACGGATCACTGCCATCTCACCTCTGTCTGCGTGGGTTCGAGTCTAGGATTCGGCGAATGTGGATATGTGAGAAAGCTTGCCAGTAGCTTCTCGTGGGTCGGTGGTTCTTTCCGGTGAGAAAGCTTGCCAGTAGCTTCTCGTGGGTCGGTGGTTTTTTCCGGTGATTTCCCGGTTTCTTCCTCCACCATTAATACTGGCCGCCATGAATAGCCTATCTTGTGCTGAAAAATGGCGTTAAGCCCAACAACAACAACAACAACATCTTTCCGGTGATTTCCCGGTTTCTTCCTCCACCATTAAATACTGGCTGCCATGAATAGCCTATCATGTGCTGAAAATGGCGTTAAGCCCAACAACAACAATAACAACAACAACAACCCTTTCGGAGAAAATTTCTGATAGCATACTGAGATAATACGTCCAACGCATACTATTGCGTGTCGTTAAAGCCTACCAATTGACTTTCAGAATATTTGCTCATGAGAGTTATTGTCTGGTAGCAGCTGATATCAATGATTCAGAGTTATTGCTCTGAAAGTAAAAGTCAGATAGGAACTGAAACCAATGGCTGTCAGAGTAATTACCATATTACAGTAATTTACCTGATATACTCATGCAGATATATCATCAACCAGTGTTACTCTTATGTCGAGATTGCTGGGTAAGGAGAAGCGGAAACCTGTTTTACTAGATCGTATTGGGTTATCACTGTAGTTCAGTACGGTTTCGACAAGTACAACCGAATATCAGTGGTTTTAAACATAAACATAAATGAATTATAATGTTCCTTTCCAAATCGTCAATTTATCTTTATAAAACGCTTTTCATTAATTGTTTTGTTTTTTTTTTTGTTTTTTGTTTTTTTTTGTACGGCATAGAATCACAAGCAGGTATTTACTGCCAAGAGTAAGATATCTGTCCCAATGATACGGTACTGTAATCGACCAAGGTTGATCGGATGATATGATTCGAACCCGCACCCTTCTGGCGGCGAGTCAGGTACACTAACCACTGATCCACTGCAACTCCTGTCTTCAATTGGTAGGCTTTAACGACACGCAAGAGTATGCGTTGGACGTATTATATATCGTCAAAGCAGCATGGAGTTATCAGAGGTGGAAAAAGTCTAATGACATTTTCTGACTCAGAGCTATCAAATAACCCGTAGGAAACATGAATATAACTGGTTGGATTTTGTACTTACGTTGAACTCACGTAGGTGTTGCGTAGACTCCTAGCTCGTTGTATCTTATTCGTTTTGTCTACCAAGCTCTTATCTCCTCTCTAAAATTCACGTCGAAACGCCAGGATTATCGATTTGCAAAAGAACATTTTGTTGTACTTTCTTATCTGCAGATCGCGATATACGTAGTGATATTTATTTCTTTAAGTGTAAAGCAGATGGATAAAATGATATGATGACATATTAGCATCATTCGCGGCTTTTGTTTTATAAGAAACTTTTTATTATAGACAATATTTACTTTTCATACGTTTGAAGTGGAAAATGCGATTTTAAATCAAGGTAGTTGATATGATTTATGATTGTTGGAGCTAGGTAGTGTTCTTTCATTGCGTGTCAGATATGTCTTTCAATTAATATTAGTAATGAGTCATCAAATATATGGGACGTTTTGTTACCTGAGTCAACAAGTAATCCATTTCAGTCTATCGCAGATTTAAGTGGCAAAAGCTATTGTGTACATTACTAGCGTTCTACCCAGTTCAGTTGACAATGCATTTCATGTACCTAAGTAAATATACCTAAAGAAATCTAAGGAATTGTTACGTTAAAACGCAAAATAATTGTACCTCTTCATTAACTAAGATTAAATTGGGTGTAAGTGTATGTATTTTATTTTGTCCATGATCCTCTTAAGAACGTATAGGCTTTTGTATTGCCCAAATTTCTTCATCCGAGTTGGCGTTTATTTAGAAGATTTTTGGTTTACCCCACGGAGAAAACAGTACTGTGTGCTGTTGTGTAGCAACCGCCAAAGGAAGTCTAGAAACTTGGTGTGGGCACTCGTCCGGTTTTATGACGGACAGTCCGGTTTTATGACGGACAGTCCGATTTTATGACGGACAGTCCGATTTTTTTCAGGTCCCTTCTTCATGAATGTGATCCATTTTGA